GAGAGAGAGAGAGAGAGAGAGAGAGAGAGAGAGAGAGAGAGAGAGAGAGAGAGAGAGAGAGAGAGAGAGAGGCACTTGGGCTATGACCAACTATTGTAACCAGAACAAGGAGTGTTGACCGAGTGACCGGCTATAGACGCCGGGAACATGCCGATCATACATCTCATAGCCCAAAACCTTGCAAACTCTGCTGCATTCGAAATAAATTATCCAGAATCTGGTCGCTGAAACAATATCCTTCACATCATTAACTTGTCGAACAGCTATTACACAAATTAAGCGCAGCCATTGCATACATGTGCCGCTCAACCCCCGGTCATCTTCTCCACATTCACGTGAATCAGAGACATGGAATGTACGACAGTAGTTTCGAATCCGAGAAGACTCCAAATGTAAGCCGCTCGATCGTGGATCGCAATTCAGATTGCAGCACCACGCACACACAAAATTATGAATGGAGAAAAGCGCACACAGACAGACAACCACACGGGCAAGCGAACGGCCGAGCATTGCTTTCTTTGATCCAGCAGCCGACCACATCAATCCGACACGTTTTCCTTCACAGAAGATTGTAAAGGAACATATGCTTCACTGCGGTTGTGAAACATTATCCACCACCAGCAGAGAACAACCGACGGATCCCCGACTGCTCCCTTTCACGTCTCTTGGTCTGTCCATCCCTCCTCCCTCTCCCATTGGTGGTGCCAGGTAGCCCCATCACTTAGGTAGAACCAATGTCTGTTCCAATAGCAGCACTGGGATGTTTTCAAAGCATCAACCTGGTGATGTCAAATAGCACCGGGGCGCTTCCAAGGGGTCCCGACTGCTCCCTTTGACGTCTCTTGGTCTGTCGATCCCTCCTCCCTCTCCCATTGGCGGTGCCAGGTAGCCCCATCACATAGTTGGAACCAATGTCTGTTCCAATCGGGTTTGTTTTCAAAGCATCAACCCGGTGATCTAAAAAATAGATAGCACCGTAGTGCTTCCCCAAGAGCACTTCCACAGAACTGTCACGCCTTCCAATGGCCGCCTTTCTAAATGAATTTAAATATGCACATGGTTGTGAAAAGCGACCACGTGTTTGCAGCCCATCCGATTACAATGTGGACTTCCTGCATCTCCCACAATGCAGCTGTCCCGTTCCCTTGCTGCTTGGACACATCGCTAACGAGATAGTGCCAATAATATAACGAAATGCGTACGACCTGGTTATGATGTGACTTGGTATCCACCACCCGCCCTCCGGCCACCCAATGCAACCTGCGCGACTGGGTACAAATGATTGAACAGATAGTAATATGTTCTTCTCTATGGTAGCCACTTGCCTCCCTATTCAGGAAAATGTACAATCCAGCCTGAACCAGTTACACGTTCCAAACACCCCATCCAGATCCAAATGAATTTCGGCCTAAACAACTAACTAATGGTCGTTCCTCTTCACCAGCTTCGTTGCTCTTCCCAGAGAATCATCTTTACAATAAAGGAATTCAACATCAACAAAATAATTACTCAGTCACTACCAAACACTTTCTGGCCCAGAATGTAGGCCAGTAGCAAGCATCGAGGCACAGTGGATTCCTTTACCCTTCCTCTACCCTAAACAAGAAGTAATAAATCCAATCCCTCTCTCTCTCTCTCTCTCTCTCTCTCTCTCTCTCTCTCTCTCTCTCTCTCTCTCTCTCTCTCTCTCTCTCTCTCTCTCTCTCTCTCTGATAGCAGAGATTTGCCTAGATCCTGGAAGCGCTAGCTCGTTCAAAAGACCGCACGTGGAGTATCAATCAGCTCAAGGCAGGGGCTAATCTTCGCTACTTCGGAGAACTTGGGCCCAGAGTACTTCTTGTGGACAGCAACCAGCGTAGTTGATGACGCGTTTTTGTGGAAACGGGCCATTAGTGATGCACAGGGCCTGCAAAAGCGAAAATGAACAAACGGTAAGTAGACAGTCAAGCTTCCTAGAATATGTTGCACTAAACATAAGGTAAGGCATTGATTGATTACATGAAGTTGAGCTCCCTTGAGGGGGATGTGGACATTAAGCTTGTCAGTCCATCAGGGCCATCAATCAGGACCTAGCTCGTCCTAAGCTACATCGACTGAGACATGCCCCTGTCGGATATCATGTACAGCTTTGGCCACTGCCTGAGCCAAGGGTTTAGGGTTTAAAGGTTTTAGGGTTTCGATAAGAATGATACGCCCGGGATGGGTATGAACGACCTGCTCTTAAGGACACTTTCCTTGATACGCCCAGGATGGGTATTAACGGCCTGCTGCTCTTAAGGACTGCTGTTTCCTTGGACAGAGTTCGATCACTACCGTCTTCACCCGAATAGAACGCCCGGTAATTATCGCTGCATACCGGGCGTTCTATTCGGGTGAAGACGGTAGGGGTTGAAGATTGATTCCAAGCACTGGCTTTAATGGCAGTAAATGCTCTTCTCTTCGAAAAGCAATCAATGCTGACAGGGTCCCTTGGGCTATAACATGGGGAAGCGTGGCGTACAATTGTCTTCCATTATCACTTGCCGGCGAACAAGGAACCGGACTGCTGCTCCCAAGAATAGGAACTTAAAAAAGTAAAAAAAAATCAGTGCAATAGTCTGATCACCGTCGTATTCATTCGGTGATGATCTGGAGTCTGAAAATAGGGAACAGGAAGCATGGTAAGAGTCCATAAATAGGGAACAGGAAGCAACAGTCTGATCTGGAGCCTGAAAATAGGGAACACAGGAAGCATGGAAAGAGCCCATACCACTTTCAAAACACCGGGGGTCGGGCGGATGAAAAACGGATTTGGAGACCGTGCTGGGAACGAGGACGACCAACCAAATGAAATACGTATGATGAGGAAACTTGGTTCTATACCTTTCTCGGCCTTTTGGCTAAGATCAAGTGTAGTATCTGTTCTGATCAGTTTAATATCTGATCCGTGGTCCACCGGACCACATTAAAACAACAACAACAACAACAACAACAACAACTTGGTTCTAACTTGTAAGGCTGTCACAAGAACGCAATCTGCAGTCCTCTGCAGCAAGGTGGGAAAGATAAGATAAGCAGGAATGATGGAAGGACTTACTTCAATGCTTCTTCCGTGTAGCCACTGTGCCGCCTCAAAGTCGGGGTCCATCCAGCAGACAGCAGTCCGAGAATACGCATTGCAGTATACACTGCAGCTGCAGCAAGCTGTGATGGAAGGAATCTCACCATGCTGTACTCCACAAGCGCCAGCTCAACCAAGAAGAACGCCAGGTGCTCCAGCTGTAAGGTCAAACATAGCACAACATACAGCACCTGTTGCTTGAGAACGTCCGCAGCCGGTAATGCTATCGGTACAGTCAAGAAGAGGAATAGATAAACAAGAAATAGACACGGCTCTCACGACTGTACACATACATCGGCCTACCCCCATAATTGAAGCTGCACAGAGGAGGCCAGCAAGGGCTTACCTTTTTATCGGCTTCAGCTGCCTTGAGGAACCGCACCATGAACACATATGGCGTCGGCACTGTTAAATTGAAGTTGAGCGTGTTGAGCATCTTCTTCTCCTGCAACCGAAAACCATTTCCACAGGTAGAGAGTGAACACGAAGTTACTCGACTACAAACGAGAAGGGGCAAGCAGACAGGAGGGGGAGAGTGACAGAGAGACAGAGGGCAAAAGCCAGAGGGAAAGGGAAGAAGTGTGAAGAAGGCAGAGGACAGAACAAGGCAGACAGAGAGAGAGGACAGAACAAGGCAGACAGAGAGAGAGGACAGAACAAGGCAGACAGAGAGAGAGGACAGAACAA